AAGTGTATAGCTCCAGTGGCGTCCTAATATCGGTAATATAAATATGTTCTGTCTGGCTGAGCTTGGCTTACGGGTGGCGATTCAGCAGCTGAAAATGATCCCTCTGGAATTGAGACGAAGGCTGCCACTCCCAAGTGTGCGTGGTGGGAGGGGGTGCATGATACCCACTTTGTTCTCTGGGTGCGGGGTGATGTTGAGAGAGGTTTTTTTTTTTACAGAGTTACGAGTTCACTGACCTTCAGCGATGCTAGTTCCCTGCGTTTTTACTTCAAAGCCTCAGGCCCGATCAGAATTTGCTGGCGAGAGATGTGATTCGTACACGCGATGATTATAATTTTTTTTCTAGCACATTAACAGTTGTTACTCCATCAGAAGATTGCGTGTAGTGGGGTAAAGTGTGGGTAATCCCAACGCTTCCAAGATGACTTGTTAGAGTGGAAGAGTAGGCCAAATACCCTCGAGAGGGAGGGCTCTAGAGCTGCCTCTCGTGGAGTAGCGAGGCGAGAAATACATTGCAGGGCTGCTCCTTTACACTAAAACTCTATTATTTTCATTTTACCAGGTAAAGCCCACTGAGCTATATAGCTCTTTTTCAGAAGCGACCTGGCCACAAATGATAGCTCAACGAAGTGGCTTATCACGTGGAAATGTAGAGCAGCCAAATACTCTAAACGCAAGTTTCTAAATGTGGAGGAAAAACCTGGGGATCCGTAAAAAAATCCACGCGACCACGGCGAGAGCAAGAGACACCGCAAGCTTCAAATATACAGCAGCAGCAGCAGGCGCGAAGGTCGGAATCGGATCCACGACCTCCTGTATACCAGGCGAGGTAGTTAACATCTACTAGCCACCGTGGCGCCCCTGAGTATGTTGGCTAAGCTAGGATTCGTGGGGGGGTGGGGGGGCATTAAATCAGAGTATCAAAGCCACCTGGAGGGACTTGGTGGAGGCGCACATGAGAGAAGACTCGCGCGGAATGTGCCCCGGGCACGTGGCGACGTCTCACGGACGTTGGGGCGGCGACGTCTCACGGACGTTGGGGCGGCGACGTCTCACGGACGTTGGCGCGGCGACGTCTCACGGACGTCGGCGCGGCGACGTCTCACGGACGTCGGGGCGACGACGTCTCACGGACGTTGGGGCGGCGACGTCTCACGGACGTTGGCGCGGCGACGTCTCACGGACGTTGGCGCGCCTCCACCCCGAGCCCGCAAAATCGGCCGACCGATTTTTAGTCTCGCACGCAAAAAAAAATCGCTCGTGGCCCCAGTGATTTTTTTCTGCTCGACACTGGCGACTTGGAACGCGGCCCTGCATAGATCACGCGTGCCATTACGCAACACTGGCCAATCAAACCTGGCCGCGTGCGTGTTACAGTCCAAACGACGCTGATAGTAATGCAATTAAGGAGATGCGCATGGATTAGCTGATGCTGCCACCCTGGTGTGTGTTGAACTTTTTTGGCACCGTACGTAGCCAACCGTGCTAATTGGAGGTGCGATTGTCAAATCCTCCTGCCACTATTGTCAGTGTTACACTATTCACGTTCAATGGCCAGGGAAGCCCGTTTTTTCAGGAGGGTCTTGCCAAGTGGTTTTTTTTTTACAGTTGAGGGCGCTGCTGCTGTGATTCCCAATCGAGTGATTTGCGGGGTCGTTATTCAACATTGGGATGTTTAGCCAATACCAGTTACATACTGTGTGTGTGTGTTTAGCTATGGAGTGGGGAGCGGTAGTGTAGCGGTTTGCGTCGTGCACTACGAACCCAGCGACTAATACCAGGGGCGATTATCTGAACTCGGCTTCCCTAGGTCGACTCACCTCAAATGAGTACCTGGTGCGGTGTGTAAAACATCGCCACCTGGGAGACAAAGGCGGCCGGGCGTGGTGTTGACCACACACCCCCCCCCCCCCCCTCGTGTGCCATGCCGGCCTTTATAGGTTACTCGCTAACAACACTTGCCCCAATAGTCTTAAGGCTATACGGGAGGACCTTTGCGTGTAAGTTTAGCTCTGGGGGGAAAGCGGAGGAAACCCATGAAGAACAGGGGGGGCGGGGAGAACATACAAACTCTACACGGAAAGGCGCCGCGGTAGGGATTCGAACCCAGGTGCTGCTTGCTGTGAGGCACGGAGTGTCACCACTTCGCCACCGCCGCTCACGACACCGCGCGGTGCCAATTGACGTGAACAGCGACAGCGGCAACTGGTCGGATATTTTAATATCGCTGGTGAGCACAGGACCCTAGGCCGAAACATCCGGCGGCCAGCTACACACAGCACCACATTTGCACCGTGACACTAGTTGGAAACGGTTGTCTGGATACCAAGAGCGCCACGTTCTAACCCCGTATTGTTAAACTCCTGTCCTGAGTAGGGGACCCACTGCCCATGGAACCACCCATCAACACTTCTGGTGGAGTAAAAATATTTGCAATTGCGTCCATCATCATCATCAGCCACGGTCATGAAGCTCTGATTGAGAAGCGACCTGGCCACAAATGATAGCTCAACGAAGTGGCTTATCGTGTGGAAATGTATAGCAGCCAAATACTGGAAACGCGTGATGTTGATTCTAAATGTGGAGGGAAAAACCGGAAGACCCGGAGAAAAATCCACGCGGCAACAGGGAGAGAGAGAGACACGCAAACTGCAAATATGCAGTAGGCATCGTCAGGGTCGGGATCGAACCCGCAACCTCCTGCACACCAGGCGATGTCGTGAACATCTCCTAGCCACCGTGGCGAGGTGGGGCGGCAGTAGCGGGAGGGGAGGGCGAGACATGTGGGCACGAGGCGGTGCGTGGAGTGGGGACACGGGGGAGACGAGGTGCACGCACGGTCGCGTGCACGCTGCGTCGTCTCGCCCGGCTGGGCCCAGGGTCGCTGTCTCTCGCTGTGATTCTCTCGCCGGGGGGTCGGTGACGCCGGTTGCGTGGAGACTAAAAGAGCTGTGCCCCTGGTGGAGCGACTGCACGGAAGCAAGGGGTTCGTGCGAGGCAACGCGCGCGAGGTGTACACACCCGCGGTGGCCCTCTCCTCGCTGCGCGCATTGCAGGAGGCTGCAGTCTATGACGCACCCTTTCAGTCGGGGGGGGGGGGGGGGCCCGGTTGCTGCAAGGATATTTTCCGGCAGCGAAAGTCCTCTCGGACGAAATGTCTCCCTCCTTTGAGCTCGCGTGCGTTCACCTCGCGCACGCGCTCCTCCACCATGGCGATCAGTGCCAAGCGCGCGCGCCTCCCACGTTTCACCTCTCAGGGCGCGCGTCGTTCCATTCCCTCCGTCAACGTCCTCGCCGCTACCCCACGCGCCATCGCCGAGGACGTCTCTCCTCGCTCATCGCGGCCATCGGTGCTCTTCATTGCGAACGCAACCCGTCGGTAACAGCCGCTGCGGGCTTGCGTTATTCGGCCGAATGCACCACCGCCAACGCAGCGCGCGTACAATGTTGTGGTCCCGTTACTGAGTTCACATTCACCCCTTGGCGGGTGAGTGGTACCAAGCTCGCACCTCTAAGCTGGCCGGCCTCTGCAAACATCTAACGCCTCATCACAAGCAAGCCCATACAGGCGCCCCAAAGAAGTCACCCGAGCGCGAATCTCTTTTGGTGTGGATCATTCTCCGCCAATACGACCTGGTAACCCCGGCAGCTTTGATATAACAAGCCCGACTGCCGATGAGACCCAGAAGGTTGAAACCGGTCCAGAGTTTTCACATCGTATTTTAACACATGCTGCTGAATGTTGGGCGGGTGAAGAGCCAATACATAGGCTGATGGACTACCCCAGTGGTTCTTAACCTTTGATGCAACCTGCACCCCTTTGGTTCTCAATCGTACAAATGAAACATGTTTATAAATACATAGGTTTGATGAAACAAAGTAGTTGTATGTGTATGTACCCGTGCTTAATTTGTATTTTCGATCATTTACCTTCTAAAAAAATCTAGCCTTGTCTCGAACCTCCAGGTGTGTGTGGACCCCAGGTAAAGAACCACTGGACGAATAACAACATTGTGCGATGTCTCGTGGGTTTGCTTAGACTGCCTATACTGTGTGAAGTCAGCAGGGGTCGCCACCGCTCCCTTACCCCACCTCCCTCCGCCTCCACTCCCCCCCACCTCCATCCTCACCGCACCTGCCCCCACCTTGCGTTTAAAAAAAAATGTGCTCGGAATAGCTTCCGATTGTCATGCGGCTGAAGGAGAAAAGACGTTTAAATTAGCGCACATCACCTGCGCAGACACGCGAATGGGACACGTGGACGACGCGCAACGAGTACACGGCACGGAGGCTGGACACGTGCGCGAAGAAGCGGGCAGCGGCGCAGGATGGAAAGAAGCACACACGGATGATCGCGCGGATTGATAAGCAGAAGAGTGTGGGCTCGGCAGGCAGCCTTGCTGTCTAAGGGGTCATGGCCGGTGGGGTCGAGACCTACAACGGAGTGGCAGCTCAAGGAGGAGGAGGAGGGGGGGAGACCGCGCGGAGATGGAGTGACGAAATCAGCTTCGTGCGCCAAAGTTGCATCGCGTTTCCATGAGAGCTGGCGACGTATTGGGGATGCCTTCATCCAGCAGTGGGTTGATCATGGCCGACGATGTGCGTGCGTGCATGTGGACACCCTTGCAGACGAAGAAGTTCCGTCTCAATCCGGGACGATGCTGCCGCTGATGCTGCTGGCGGTAGCACGCGCCGGGAGATGTCGCTGTGACCTCCGTCGCGTTATCTCTCGACCTCCTGACCTTGTCGCTCAGGTGTTCGCTAAGGGTCTTCCCTCGCGAGTCGAGGCGGAGACGGCGGTCTCTGATTGATGCGCCGAGGAGGAGGAGGCTGCTTGACCCCCACCATTCCTCCTCCTCCTCCGTCTCGCTGCGAACCAGCAGCGAGCTCAGGCTTGGGGGGGGCGGGTGTGGGCAGGGATGGAGCCGCGGATGGGAGATGGAGCGGGAGATGGGGGGTGGATAGTGGTGGTGGGGGGGGGGGGACCTGGCGCGCACTGCAGTGAGAGCAGCGGCAGAAGGGCTCCGTGCGCGGGAGAGAGCCGGGAGAGGCTGCGAGAGTGTGGAAGAGGAGAGCGGGCGGGGGACGAGGTGCGAGGAGAAGAGGGGAGAGCGGCACGGATAGAGAAGGGAGGGAGGGGAGAGAGAGGAAGAGGGAGGGGAGAGAGAGAGAGAGCGGGGCGATTCGCTTGGCGTGTTGCCAGTCTGACTGGTGTGGGAAGGCAAAATGGTGAAGGTGGTTTAACTGGCTCGGAGGGCGACTGCGCTGCTGTGTTCTCGAGAATTTATTTATTTTTATTGTGCACATCAAATATTAAAACAAGAAGAAAACATCCCATTGTTTTTTACGCGAGCCTCCTCGCATTGCAGTAACAAGTCGCGTTAGCGCGGCTGTAATTATGCGGCGCCTTATTTCACATCCGTCCAGCCAGCGGCGGCAGCAGCGCAGCGCCACCGCCACCACCGCCGCCGCCGCCGCATGCAGCGAGGGGGAGACGCGGGGGAGACGCGGCCTAGGGACTGAGTGAAGCTGCCCAAGCAAGGGGGGGAGGGCTGGCTCGAGTCGCTCTGTGTGGCAGAGGAAGGCACACACACCACGCACACACGTGCGCGCGCGAACACACCACGCACACACGGGCACACACACACACATTAAGGGTACCTGCCGGTGGAATCTAATCAAGATCACAGTCACACACACGTGTAACACGCTGGCACACACGCCGCTACAGACACGAGCACCCACAGGCACGCAGACTCGTACACGCGTGCGCACACGGGAAGGGAAGTAGGGAAGAGGAGGCGGAAGAATAGGATAGGAAGAGAAGGAGGAGAGAGAAGACTGGAGCCTCCGGGAAGGACGCGGTGGCACGGAGGCCCCCGCCAGCTCCCGGGAGAGACGGGCGGATGGACGCGCGACTCCCCGGAGCCGGGCTTCTGCTGTTCCTGCTCACGCTGCCAGAGTCACTGCCCGACCTGCAGGGTGCGTACATCCCACGCTCTCTCCTTCCCTCCTTCCCTCCACTCGCTCGCTCACTCTCCATCCTTCGCTCTCCCCATCCCTTCCCTGTCCGCACGTGGCGGCAGCAGCCAGGATGAAGGCGCACACGAGAGAGAGAGCGAGCGCGCTGCCCCATCTCGCTGCGCCAAGAGAAGTGCACCTTGTGCAGATGAAGGGTGACGTCACCGTGCCGCAGTCATGTGTTGGCTGTGCTGTACAGTACTTTGATGGGGGCAACGTTTTGTTCGAGAGTGGAATTTATTGCACCGACAAGTCCGGAAGAAGGGCAGCCCCCCCTCGTCACCGATGTCCACCCTCCATCCGCACCCTCCCCGGCACCCCGCGTCGCCGCCACCGCCACGCGCAGTGCGATTTTATTCCGCACCACGATGCCAGTTGCGTGTCCAAGGAGCGAGAGTGCCGACGTCGCGGTCTGCTGCTGCCCACGGCGAGAGGGGCTTCCGCAGAGAGAGAGCGTGAGAGACAGAGAGCGTGAGAGAGAGCGTGAGGGAGAGAGGACGTGAGAGAGAGCGTGAGAGACAGAGCGTGAGAGAGCGTGAGAGAGAGCGTGAGAGATTGAGAGAGAGCGTGAGAGAGAGAGGACGTGAGAGAGAGCGTGAGAGAGAGGACGTGAGAGAGATTGAGAGAGAGATTGAGAGAGAGCGTGAGAGAGAGAGAGCGTGAGAGAGAGGACGTGAGAGAGAGAGCGTGAGAGAGAGCGTGAGAGAGAGGACGTGAGAGAGAGCGTGAGAGAGAGAGAGCGAGTGAGAGATTGAGAGAGATTGAGAGAGAGCGTGAGAGAGAGCGTGAGAGAGAGAGGACGTGAGAGAGCGTGAGAGAGTGAGAGAGAGATTGAGAGAGAGCGTGAGAGAGAGGACGTGAGAGAGAGAGAGCGTGAGAGAGAGGACGTGAGAGAGAGAGAGCGTGAGAGAGAGAGAGCGAGTGAGAGATTGAGAGAGAGCGAGTGAGAGATTGAGAGAGAGATTGAGAGAGAGCGTGAGAGAGAGAGAGAGCGTGAGAGAGATTGAGAGAGCGTGAGAGAGAGAGGACGTGAGAGAGCGTGAGAGAGTGAGAGAGAGTGAGAGTGAGCGAGTGAGAGCGTGAGAGAGAGCGTGAGCGAGAGCGTGAGAGACAGCGAGTGAGAGCGTGAGAGAGAGATTGAGAGAGCGTGAGAGAGAGGACGTGAGAGAGAGCTTGAGAGAGCGTGAGAGACGGAGAGCGTGAGAGACAGAGAGCGTGAGAGACAGAGCGTGAGAGAGATTGAGAGAGAGCGTGAGAGTGAGAGAGATTGAGAGAGCGTGAGAGAGCGAGTTCGTGTCGTGTCGCTGTTCCTCGCCCCTGCTCCGTTGTAGGAGCGCAGGGCACAGAGTGGGGTCACTCTGCAGCCCATCGCGCGGCTTGCGGTGGGCACAGCGCATCACGGGGGGGGGGGGGGGGGGTGCTGATGCAGTGCACGCGATCCGCCTCGCCCAGTGCACCACCGACCAGCCACCACGTGGTTCACGATCCTTGTCAACGTACGGACAGACCGCTCGTACTCGCGCTCTGAGAGAGCGGTGCGGCGTGCTGCTGACGGGGCTGAAGCCGATCGCGCCCCGCGCGGGCTCGGACGCCTGCCAGGCCGCTTCGTAGCCGCCCGTGTCCCCCACGGGGGCGGCTCACTGCCTGGCACGCTGCTAGCATGCTGCTGGCTCGCTGCTGGCTCGCTGCTAGCACACTGCTGGCGCGCTGCTGGCTCGCTGCTAGCACGCTGCTGGCTCGCTACCTGGCACGCTGCTAGCACGCTGCTGGCTCGCTACCTGGCTCGCTGCTAGCACGCTGCTGGCTCGCTGCTAGCACACTGCTGGCACGCTGCTGGCTCGCTACCTGGCACGCTGCTAGCACGCTGCTGGCTCGCTACCTGGCTCGTTGCTAGCACACTGCTGGCTCGCTACCTGGCTCGCTGCTAGCACGCTGCTGGCTCGCTACCTGGCTCGCTACCTAGCTCGCTGCTAGCACGCTGCTGGCTCGCTACCTGGCTCGCTGCTAGCACGCTGCTGGCTCGCTACCTGGCTCGCTGCTAGCACGCTGCTGGCTCGCTACCTGGCTCGCTACCTAGCTCGCTGCTAGCACGCTGCTGGCTCGCTACTTGGCTCGCTGCTAGCACACTGCTGGCTCGCTGCTGGCGCGCTGTTGGCACGTTGCTGGCACGCTGCTGGCTCGCTGCTGGCGCGCTGCTGGCGCGCTGCTGGCACGTTGCTGGCTCGCTGCTGGCTCGTTGCTGGCACGCTGCTGGCTCGTTGCTGGCACGCTGCTGGCTCGCTGCTGGCTCGCTGCTGGCAAGTTGCTGGCACGCTGCTGGCTCGCTGCTGGCAAGTTGCTGGCACGCTGCTGGCTCGCTGCTGGCACGCTGCTGGCTCGCTGCTGGCTCGCTGCCGGCAAGTTGCTGGCTCGCTGCTGGCACGCGCGCGGTGCCGCTTGGCCACGTGCGAGACGAGCCCAACGTGCGGTCAACTCATGCGGCGGGATAACGGAGCGTTGTTCCTGCGTCTGGGTGACACGCGTGTGTGTTACACGTGTGTGTCAGTGACGTGTGTGTCAGTGACGTGTGTGTCAGTGACGTGTGTGTGTGTGCGAGTGACACGTGTGTGTTACACGTGTGTGTGTGTGCACGAGTGAGGCGTGTGTGTTACGCGTGTGTGTGTGGCACGTGTGTGAGTGTCACGTGTGTGTGCGCGAGTGAGGCGTGTGGCACATGTGTGTGTGAGTGACACGTGTATGTTACACGTGTATGTGAGTGACACGTGTGTGTGTGCGGGCGGGCGCGAGTGGCCATGTGGGGGCGTGCGGTGATGACTGTGATTTCACGAACCCCGGCAATGCATTAATCTCGGCGCGATGCTCGGGTGAAGTCTGGGCGTTTTGTTATCGCGTTCTGCACGATTAGCTGCTGCGTGTGTGTACGGGTGTGTGTATGTGTGTGTGTACGGGTGTGTGTGTGTATGTGTGTGTTTGTGTATGTCTTCGCCGGTTAGATACATTTAGGCTAGCCTGCCTACGATCCATCCTGGGTTTAACCAGGCTGGATTGTGTAAGGAGCTCACAAATTCTTGAAAGATCTGGGCAAGGTCCCATCGGTGAGCTCCTCTGGCAGGCAAGGCTGCGTTGGCTGGGTCATGTAGCCCGCATGCCCATCCACCGCATGCCGAAACAGCTTTTGTTCGGCCGTATCGAGGGGGCTAAAAGGGCGCGGCACGGGCTAAAAAAGAGATGGAGTGATGTGGTACAGGAGGACGTGGAGCTGAGTGGACTTGCCGATGACTGGTACCAGCGGTGTCAAGATCGGCCTCTGTGGAGGAGGCTCGTGAAGGAGGCTATTGGGCAGTTGGAGGCAGTCGCCCTCCAACAACAACGGAGGGCGGAGGAGCGACGCTCACAACAACGAGCGGAGTGCCGGGTGACTAAAGCACAGCAGGTTGGCACAGTAGGGGGCACAGGTGGTGCACCAGCCAGTCATCTCAGTCAGTCGACCCGTGGCACTTGGGTCTGCCCCGTGACCTCCTGCCCACGGGCGTTCGACACTTCACGTGGCCTCAAGGTGCACATGGCCTGGCACAAGCGTCGTGGTGACGTCACCGCCACTTAGTGGCGAATGGCGGTTGTTGTTGTGTGAGAGGAGCATTATAGAGGAGTGGTGGCGCAGTGGTTCGTGCGCTGCACAACGGCCAACGCCAGTGACGATTTTCCGAACTGGGCTTGGGCCTCCCCTACGTCGACTTAGCCTCAAATGAGTACTATTGGAATGTTTAAACATCGCCACTGGGGAGACAAAGGTGGTCGGGCGTGGTGCTCGCTAACAGCACTTGCCTATAAAGTATGTGAAGGCTATAGGGGGAACTTTGCCTCACGGGGAGTATTTAGATACCGGTGTGTGTGGGCAGTTGTGCATTCGGTTCTGAAGGACCATTGCCCGAAGCGTCGCGTATTTATACATAAATCATTACATTATTTTTGGGGGCAGTTCTGGAATGTGTTGCATGTGTGTGTGAGTGACACGTGTGCGTGCGTGCGTGTGTGTGATAAGTCAATCAACCCATGGCACCTGCAGGGTCTGTCCCGTGACCTCCTCCTGCCAGCGAGCCACCGACACTTAACGTGGTGGCCTCAAGGTGCACCTAGCCCGGCACAGGCGTCGTGGTGGTATTGGCCAGTTACGAATCCGGTGACCCCATTGGAATTCCAATTGCCGCTCACGGCCAACGTCAGTGACCAATGCCTGGAACCCTCCCGCTTGAGTGAGTACCTGGTGTGCGGGGGGGGGGGGTGAACCACAACAGGAGACAAAGGCGGCCGGGCGTGGTTCTGACCACACCGCAACCTCGTGCGCCGTGGCGACCTTCACAGGTGCGTCTAACACGGAGTAGTCGTAGTAGTCGTAGTGGGCTGTCGCGACCAATATCATCCATAATAGAGAGGGGGGGTTTGGGTGCACTTGCCAACCGACAGCCAGCGAAGACTATATGGGGGATCTTTGTCTTTGTGCTCGGCCGCTGCTGGGGGGGGGGGGCTGCTGAATGCGCAGTGCCTGCAACTCGCACGGTGTCCCATTGAAAGCGCGTGCCGCGTGCCTCACAGGGAAACTCTGCAGCGTCTTTCTCTCTGGAGCTCTCCTCGATGTTGTGTGCCGCGTTTGACCCCGAGGTGGTGGTGGTGGTATGCTGCTTGTCGGTGATTGTGAGTGATCGAGAGAGGATTGCCGCACGCCGCTCTCTGCGCGCATTACAACATCGATGATGGTGATGACGTTGAAAAGAATCCAGCCATTCTCTGCCGGGCCACCTTGCAGACGGAGTGGGCCAGCCGTGTGGCCGTCTCGAGCCCCCTTTAGTGTGGAGACCCTTCAGCCGGCAGTGGCGTGAGCAGGCAATTGCAGGGCCGCGCCTTTACCTTGTGAACGTAGTGGTGTCGACTCGTGTCGCTGCCCTTGTCTGTTTAACACGGAG